CCACCACCCATGTGCCTCAGGGAGGGGCCAGTGTTGCTAAAATTAGGAGAAATTCAAAGAAGGACTCTTCTTGGGAAAGAGAGCAGCGGCTTCGAGGGGGTCCAGTCAGCTTTGTGTAGTCTTGTTCTCTGTGCTGTCTCTTGCTCATGCCCCGAGGGGAATATTTCTGGATAGCACCCCCTACCCCTGTCCCCAAGGCAGTAGCAGAAGATAGCAGATGTGGCTGCTTGTAGTAGCCCCAGGAGGAGGGCAGAGGGGCTGGACAGACTGAGAAACTGACAGCCTCTGTCCAAGGGCAGGCCAGCGTGGGGCCTGAGGCTGCAGACACAGGAAAACCAAATCCCTGGTTTCTGTGCTCAGGGAGTCCAGGCCTAATGCTACACTTGACTCTATCAAGGCAGATGTATGCGGCCCAGATAGAGGTTAAACACTTGGGCCTGGGAGCCTGGGGATTGTGTCTTTTCAACTTGCACTCTGTTATGGGTGCTTTTTTGAGCAAGTGACTTGACTTCTGGGCCTCAGTTTCTGGAAGGAATAATTGAAACCACCACGCATCATTGTGGCAGGTAAGATAGGGAGGCCAAGCCCTGGTGGCTGGTGCGGTTCTTGTGAAATGGACCCACCCATCAAGACAGTGTCATTTTTCTGAGGTTGGCACTGGAGGGAGACCCTCCATCTGGCTGCTCTCCCTTGACCGACAACCTGGGCACATCCGAGGGTGGATTATGGAGGCAGCCAGCTGGTTTCCTTGCCCGGGGGAGGCACTGAGCGCTGATGTCCTGGGCTGCTCCCTTGTCCTCTCATTTTAATCTGACACCTTAGCTTCTGGTCGGAATTAACCGTTCACTGCAGATACTCCTGGGGTGTCATTTCCAGCCGTCACGAAACATTCTTGGTTTTGATGAGGTTGCTGGGTTTGGTCCCCATTTTTTGTTTTTATTGGTTTAGGAGGAGGGGGTGCTTTTGAACTATGGAAGCTGGTTGTCGGCTGAAAAACGAGAGTACAAGAGGGGCCAGGTTGGGTGAGTCCTACCTGGAAGGCTCGGGGACCCGCGAGAGAGCGTTCTCCCCACACCTCTGTTCTCTCCCCGCAGATGTGTACTCCCAGCAACACCCCTGCCACGCCGCCTAACTTCCCCGACGCGCTGGCCATGTTCTCCAAGCTTCGTGCCTCCGAGGGCCTGCAGAACAGCAACGGCCCCATGACGGCCGTGGCCTGCTCCCCCCCGGCAAACTTCAGCCCCTTCTGGGCCTCGTCCCCCCCAAG